ATACCAGTAAAGCCCAGTACTTGAAAGAGTTCTCTTATAACCTTCCAGTGATTTGCTGAATAAGTTTTACGCAAGTCCTCCGCTACTGATTTTTCAAAATTCTCTTCGGCTTTATAACAGGCGTCTTCCCATTGTGCGAGATCCTTAGCTTCCAATCCTTCTATTGCACTTTCTTCATCATAACCAAGCCTCCGAAGATGGGATAGACGTAAGAAATGTTTTCGAGGTTCGGGAGATCCAAAATGTTCCACAAATTTTTTATTACAAAGTTTATCCCAATCTTTGATGCTCATATCCATATCTTTACCGGTATAGAGACTTCGCAAATAGAAACGTTTAAGTGCCATAGTATCTGGGATAGAGCGTACTTGATCAAACTTAAGAATTTCAGCTTCTTCAGGGATGAGATTTCGGGAAGTTGCAACCGCACTAAAATCCGTTTCCTTGATAACTGATGCTTCAACCCTGACCTCATTGCGGACTTTTTTGCGATTCCCTATAACTTCTCGGCTCTCATCCATTTTTATAAGTTGAAGAGAAGCGCCCGTACTGGCTATAAGACTGCATGATATCTCAATGAAATTTCTTCCAGATAGACGTTTTCGATGTTCGACTTCAAGGAATGATGTTACAGCAGGAGATTGATCAAGTTTATATGAAACAATATTTTTATCCCATTCACGATGGCCCTTAATTGCTGTAGGTAGATCAGTAGGACGAGCACTTTCAAGTTCAGCACAAATATTTTCATGGCCTGGCGAACGAGAAAGTTCATTGGAAATTTTTTGATAATAGAGAGATAGTATACGCTTTTTACAATCACGAATTCGAAACATCATTTGGATAAAGGCTTCAACATTAACTGGAGTTGCAATATTTGTAATGCCTATAACCGCATCAAAGTGATCAGCCTTTTCAAAAGATATGCCCGCTTCCACTGTACTCGTGTATGCTACACAATCAAGTTCACCCCAAGCAGTATTAATATCTAAGAAGTCTTCTTTTCGTTGTTTTCCATCCATATCTCCATAATAGGCACGAGCTTTGAAAGATAATTTAGAAGCTTCTTTTACTAATGCTCGAGCCATATTAGAGCTTGTTACAACAAATGCCACGCGTTTGCCTTGTCTGAGAAATTCAAACCCAATTCGCATAGCTTCAGCCCCACTATTTGGGTCGTAAAGATATTCAACAGTCTTACCTATAAGTGGTTGGAATTTATTATCAATTACTCGGATATTTTCACCACGATAAGCTTTGAGAAATGTTAGTGTACTTTCATTTGCAAATGCATCCATGGCTAAAACATGTTGAGCCGATCTTAATGCATCACGCATTGCATTTTCAGATTCCCGCGCATTTGAACCGCTATTCATTTGACGTTGAATTGCATTGACTTCATCTAAAATAGCTACAATCGGACGGGCTGAGAATTCTATACGAGATAGACTCTCAACTTGAACTATGATAATATCCCACTTATCTACGGATAAACTCTTTTCATCTTGATAATTACAGATTCTGAGTCTGGATAATTTAAGATTATTAATTTTACCCATTGATTCATTACTAAGAGTTTTTCGGTAAGAAATCCAGATGACGCAAGGCATACTAGCTTTATTCTTGGCTAAATAATTGAGATATTTTCTTAGACCTTTTGTTTTTCCCGTCATCATAGGAGAGCGAATCAAAGTTGTACTGGGTTCTTTGCTCAAGAAATTGGGATAAGCTTCTGGAAAATCTTCCATTTCCTTTACATTAATAACTTCTCCAGATAATTCAGGAAGTAAACGGGGATTTAATACAGCTTTGGCTATTCTCTGAAAACCCCGGTTCACTTAATTCGACTTCATTAAGAATTTCCTTTGCCCCAACAGTTAACTTATCGGCTACCCCATCCACTCCTTCTGCGATATCCAAAATTCCGGACGCTATTGGGTCACTAGAATCAATAGAAGATAAATCCAGTTGTTCCAAACATTCGCGGACTTCAATTATCACCTCTTCGATTTCAAAAGAACGACCAATATTCACCGCATTAATCTAATAAGGATTTCAGCGTTAAATCCAAAAATAACGATATCCATTAACATATTTCAAATAATTTTGGAATGTACATACACATTTATCAACTATTTCAGCAATATTATTCCGAATTATCTCTTGGTTCTGTTGTTTTTCGTGTTCCTCACGCTAAATTGAGTATTTTTATTAGTCTGGTGGATTCAATTCTCATATAGAAATTTTCGAAACAATACTTACTCGTTTTTTTTCTACTTGATATGCTTCACTGAAAATTTCTTGGCGCTTTTCCTATAAATAAAGTGATAAATAAAGTAAGAAATTGGAATGCTTCTGACATATAGTTTAAAATATTTATAAGAAATCAGAACTGTCATAAATTATCACATATCAATAATATATAATTTGAGTTAGCATGCCGATGGCAGATGACGAGATACACGAAGGCATTGCCCGTATCAGACCTAGCAAAATGCCCGGGCGATGAAACTCATGCATCTGAACCCTTTGATGAATACAGAGCCGGCTTTCTGCAGAGCTAAGGCGTACACTAATGGTGTTTATTCAGCCTTTTCAAAAGATATGCCCGCTTCCACTGTACTCGTGTATGCTACACAATCAAGTTCACCCCAAGCAGTATTAATATCTAAGAAGTCTTCTTTTCGTTGTTTTCCATCCATATCTCCATAATAGGCACGAGCTTTGAAAGATAATTTAGAAGCTTCTTTTACTAATGCTCGAGCCATATTAGAGCTTGTTACAACAAATGCCACGCGTTTGCCTTGTCTGAGAAATTCAAACCCAATTCGCATAGCTTCAGCCCCACTATTTGGGTCGTAAAGATATTCAACAGTCTTACCTATAAGTGGTTGGAATTTATTATCAATTACTCGGATATTTTCACCACGATAAGCTTTGAGAAATGTTAGTGTACTTTCATTTGCAAATGCATCCATGGCTAAAACATGTTGAGCCGATCTTAATGCATCACGCATTGCATTTTCAGATTCCCGCGCATTTGAACCGCTATTCATTTGACGTTGAATTGCATTGACTTCATCTAAAATAGCTACAATCGGACGGGCTGAGAATTCTATACGAGATAGACTCTCAACTTGAACTATGATAATATCCCACTTATCTACGGATAAACTCTTTTCATCTTGATAATTACAGATTCTGAGTCTGGATAATTTAAGATTATTAATTTTACCCATTGATTCATTACTAAGAGTTTTTCGGTAAGAAATCCAGATGACGCAAGGCATACTAGCTTTATTCTTGGCTAAATAATTGAGATATTTTCTTAGACCTTTTGTTTTTCCCGTCATCATAGGAGAGCGAATCAAAGTTGTACTGGGTTCTTTGCTCAAGAAATTGGGATAAGCTTCTGGAAAATCTTCCATTTCCTTTACATTAATAACTTCTCCAGATAATTCAGGAAGTAAACGGGGATTTAATACAGCTTTGGCTATTCTTTCAATTAATCCCAATTTAGGCTTCACTTTCAATTCGATTTTATCTGATACCTTACCGAAGCTCAGTCCCTTGTGTTCTGGTTTGTATTGTTTTTGGCGATAACACTTAAGTATAAAATCCCCATTTTTTTGAATAAATCCATAGAGTTGATCCTTTTCATGTTTAACTTCACATATAGGACATTCTTTAACGGATTGTGCCTGAAAGTTAATGAACCCTTTCTCAGATCTCCCAGCCTGGAGCCACTCATATTTCGCAATAGCTAAGTTAGCCCCATTAACTAAAGCATTTTCATCATCAATAGGTTGGGATCCTTGTTTTACTGGCTCCTCTGAAGAAAAGGTTCGTGGCAGGATTTCAGAATAATTCTCTTTAGGTTGAACCAGATAATCCTCTAGCTTTTGAAATCCATTTTTTATGGAAGAGATAGCAGGTCTCTTTATGCGTCCCTCTTTCGCTGACCCAAGGAGTCGAAGATTGAAATGTGTTTTGGAAAGGCCAACATCAATAAATTTCGAATAAGGTTCCCCAACTAGTTCCATAACTTTTTCTGTGAAACCCTTAAGTTCTCTATAATCCACTAATTGGGCCCGAGGATAAATGATATGCCAGCTACATTTTTCAACATTTGATGAGCTTGCTAAGGCAAAAGAATTTAATAAAGGCATACAATCTGGTATTAGGCTTAATGCATCTGCACAAGCAACTAAAATTCGAGATATCAGATCTTCACGAGTAATTCTTTCACTATCTAGAGAAGGAAGTTCAGGATTTGTAGGATCAGGTTTTTGCCTTGCATCAATATCAATTACCAAGCGAAGAGGCTGGTTTCCATCGATACATTCATGTATATTTGGCATTCTATAAACTTCAGAAGGATGATCAATCACTGTATAACCTTTTCCCACCATCCGGATTACATACTGAGAATGAATCTCTTCAGGTCGATATGCATCTAAAAGCGCAGTATCATTTTTATCAGTATGACCATTAGATGCAAGCCAGTATTTATAAAATGTATGCTCTCTATGACCGGGTTTATAATCAAGATCCGTTAAACCAATGAAGAACTTTTTTGCTTCATTATATTCGACCAATTTTTGATTTAGACGCTGTTGTTGTAGGCTCAAAAAGCCATTGCTCTGCAATAATGATTCACGAAGACGTTTTTTTGCTTCACTAGATAAACTCATTTTATTAATTTGTATATGTGCGTTGTTTGATCTGACAAAAAGTATATGTAGTATTATTTTGAAACTATATTAATCGATAGATAAATCTTTAAAATAAAATTAATTATTATATATAGTTATGATGATATTATACCATTGCTCACATATTCATAGAACTGGAGAAATCTGTGGTCGGGGTAGTAAATCAGAAAGATGTTATAATCATCATAAATCTCCAGTATATACTCCTTGTAGAGATTGTGGTGTGCGAAATAGGTCTAAATATAATGCATGCGATAATCATGTAGGCAAATATAAAAGTAAAGAGAATTATCACAGAAAAAAGCAGGATGAGTTATGTGCACAAATTGTTATGCTTGAGAATAATATACCCGACTTACCTGATTTTGGATATGAACTATAGTAAATGGATAGATGGTATATATTGGTTATGCCAGCTCTGCTAATATATTATGAATCATTTTTTCTCTAGCTTCGAGCATATATGCAAGAAGGTGGGAATGTGATAAGTGAACATATTCTACATACGGTGCATGCCGGAATCATGCCAGTAAGTATCGAAAAAGAGAATATTATCATCAAAAAAAGCAGGCTGAATTACATGCAAAGATTGATGTACTTAAGAATCGTATACCGGACTTGCCAGGTTCTGGGTACGACCTATAAATGAAGGGTCGGGTAATTAATTTCGAATTTGAAAGAATATATTTCATACATAGTCATAGTTACTTCTACTATTCATACCTACCAGTTATACCTACTATTAAAATGTCTGCCATCACAAGTGAAATCGTAAAAAAATATAGATTAACCCCTCAGATGGACCCGTCTCAGCTAAGTGCCTATGCCAATGAATTCCGCACTAAAATTCCTGACTGGCGCATTCGTAAAAATGCAAGAACCCGTCTCCGAGATCTTAAGTTTAGCCCAGAACAAATATCAGCACTCCTACCGGATCAAAGAAAACAGAGCAAGCCAGATACTGTAAAAAATAAAGTTCAAAAAATTATGGAATCTACTGATCCAATTGGCGAAGCGTCTACTATAATTTTTCTTGAGAGTGCATATACAACGCCAGAGAATGTTATTGCAATTGATTCAGAACTCAAACGCATTCGGCATGGTCTGCGTGAAAAGGGGGCTTCTGAAAAGGTAATCGATGCTTTACAAGACACTGATGGTATCACTCGGGAGTCAAACAGGAAACAATCTGAAAATCGCAAGCTTCGTGCAAGAATTGGAATTTCCCCTTCCGAACATTTTAGTTTAGAATCTATAAATGCAAGACTCCAAAGCTATGATACTGCTAAATTGCCCGACATTCAAGCTCTTGCAGATGTAATGGTAATGCTCTGTATGAGGCCAGCTGAAGTAACAACTCTCCGAATTTCTTATTTCGAACCACCAAATGATGATGCACTGCATCGAGGAAGCAAAGCTTCGAGTCAAGGACTCATCTCCGATTCTCTTCCTGAATGGTGGGTTCCTGGATGTAATTGGTATGCAACCAGTTATGCTAAAAATCATAAAAACCATCCTCGGGAATTTCTTTCGATGGAAAAAAATCCAGAACGTGCTTGCCAACTACTTACCTGGATCCAAACAGCAATAAAAAATGGCCATTTACGCAACCCTGGTATTGTAGGTGTTAAATGGTTAAATAAATTTCTGAAAAAATATGAGTCAGAGACTCTATGCTCCGCATATAATCTTAAGCCAAGCGATTTACGAAAAATTGGTGCAGATCATGCTTGCATAGTACATGAAGGACGCAATGATGCTGATAGATTAAATATCCGAAGAAAAGCACTGAGGCATTCTCCAGATGGTCCACATTCCCCTGCAGAAAACTATGCTATAATAAATGACAGGCGAAAAATTCTTCCTTCTGAGCCAAAAGATAAAGTTGATCGTATCCCTTACAATGATTTGATTGAGGAACTTGATTAGAATATGTGCCTATTTCTTATGAAATGGTATTACATAACTGGCACTAGCTCCGCTATAAAATACCTGCTCCGCTAAAATGTAAATCGTATATTAAAGTTAACAGGTGCTAATCGGACCATGTAAATGTTCTAGGGATGATTCTTTACAAATAGGCTTCCCGCTACTTAAATCATAGTAATATCCTGCCTCAACGTCATTATCAGAAAATATTACGCTCGTATAATTGGGTAAAATAGAAATTGGAGGACAGGCTTTGTTAGATGTATTTACCTGGATTTCTGGTGAAACCTTTTCAGGAAATGCACTTATCTCAGTTTCCGGTAATTTTTCTGAATCGTTTGAGATAGATGGTTCAATCACGTGTGCATTCTTTTTTGGAAAACGATTTATAATATTTCGGATTTGAACACCTGTTAAACTAGAAATAGCATCAGCACTATATGTAATTTGCTTGATTTTATCTATTCCTATTTCTTTGAACAATGTATAAACATTTCTGGCCTTGTGGGTTTTCATACGTAAATACTCTCTCTTGATACCAGGAAGATATGGTTCCATTTCATTGTAAATCTGTGTTCTTGCCATTTGATCGTTGTTAATTTCGTTTTTTGAGCTAATATCTCTGACCTTTTTTTCGAATTCCTCACAATAATAATACCAACGTAAAATTTCTTTCTGACCAGTTTTTTTAGCCTTGTCAAATAAATAAGCTAAATGTAATGCAGAACCTAGAGTTCCACAAAGTGAGGATGCTTTCGCATCAAGATCACCTTCATCTAGCATATTTTTAGAAATTTGTTTATCAGATATAGAATTCGAAGGGCTTTTCTCGTTAATAAATACAGATAACTCACGAATTAAACCTTGTTCCACTTTCTGATTATAGGGAATTTTTATTTCAGTTGTAGGGTTTATTTTGGTAGAAATGACACTTTGTACTTCAGAAGAGGAAGAAATTTTTTGTATCGCTTCTTGATCTTGAAGTTTCTTTTCTCTGTTTCTCTCCCTCATCATATTACTAACCCTTTCCTTTTCGTTTAGATCCAGAAAATTATCAATATCTTTGTCTTTCAACGATTTAGTTAAGTCGGAGACTCTGGGCTCAACCCATTCTACAGGGGTGGAAGACGCGTTATCAGATGTATTTTCTATCTGCTCGGAAGTTACAGAGTCATTTGTTTCGCAGTGAGATAAAATTTCTTTGTTAGAGTGGTCTCCAATAGGTAGAAAAGTTGCTTGTGGTTCTGAATAATCTAAGGATGAATCGGGGATTTGAATCTTTGCTTCCTGTGTATTAGTAATGGTTTGAGTTCGCTTTTTGATTTTCTCAAAATCATTTTCCAATTTAGTTACTTTGACCTTAAGCTGAGTATTCTCTTCCACAGCATGTTCTAATTCCGCAATTCTAGCTTCAAGCGCTTCTTTTTCTTTTGCGGTCTGTTCTAATTCTTTGACTCTAGCCATAAGCCTGGCATTTTCTTGTTTTAATAAATTTAATTCGGATTCCATGTTCGATGATATTTTTTTGTATATATAAGAAATAGATTTATTCAAAATAGAAAAATCACATGCGCGTAAAGAATCTTTATGCCGATCACTTTGGCAAGAAAAAATATCTAATGTCGTGTAATATTATGCGATCACTGGATCTTCTCTGTTTTACGAATAAATAAGAGGTATCTATTGTTGTTGTATAAAAATGATTAAGCTTATTTTTTTGACATCGAATGAGGCCTGTGCGTAGTATAAGATATA